CACAGACGCACACACAGATGCACACGCACACACAGACACAGACACACACATACACAGGCACGCACATATATACACACACACACACACACAGGCACAGACACGCACATATACACACACACACACACAGGCACACACACGCACACACACACACACGCACACACACACACACACACACACACACACACGTGTTTCTGCATGAAGCAGGACATTCACAGGGCTTTTGCTGTTTATAACCACCCACACTGCCTTGATTACACCGGCAGCAATCACATTAGAGGAGGAACAACTTATTACATTCAGATGAAAATACATGAAAACTAAAGCTGCACTACATATATTTAAAAAAAATTGATGTTGCAATATGGCTTAATGTCTAGTCAAATCACAAATGCTTTAATTAAATAATACGTTGCCGATTTCAAAGTGAAGCAGTTTATTTACTGTGCATTGAGCCGCTCTGACATGTAAATGATGAACACAATCACACGGTTCACTCAGAAGCCAGCTGTGCATATATTTATTTGCAGACAAGCATCCAAAATAAAAGCTTGATGTTTTACTTTTGAAAATTAAGATGTAAGTCTTAGTACTGTAATTTTACAGTTTTACTATAGTATAAATTATTAGTATTTTTTATTAAACGTTTGTTAATTTTAAAATAATAGTATTATTGCACTATATTTTGCTTAATGATTTTATTTAATAATAATCACAAAAAAAATCATTATTATTTTATAGTCATATTGAATGGGTCAAAAACACTGGGAATGTGGGCGATGAAAACTTGGGCGGAAAGGTTTTTTTTTTTTCACTTCATGGTTACTGAAAGTGGTTTGGGTTGGTTCATGTAATGAGTACACCCACATTTTTCTAAAAAATATGCTTCACGCTCAAAATAATTTATGTAGTTTCTGTATTTTTTTAATACTGCAATATAGATTTAGAAAAACGAAATATTGCAATGTCAGTTTTTCCAAAATCCTAAAGCCCTCAACTCTTAAAGGTTGTTTATTGGTTCCTTTTCTAAAAAAATGGACTTCCTAAGAGTCAGTTTTATAGAGGATTTGTCATTCTGAATCAGACTGAGAAATCGGTAATCATGAAAAAGACATTTTTAGAAAGAGGTTACCCTTCTGGGTTGACAAAGCACTTAATACATCCTTTCGAAAAACAGTTGTTGAAAAAAAACTTTCATTTTCATTACAACTTATTCGCCCATGTCTAATCTGATAAGGTCAATTTTACAAAAGCACTGGTACGTGTTATCTTCGGATCCGGAGTTCAGTGCCGTTTCAACACCCTCCGTTGACTGTATATTAACGTGTGAGAAATCTGAAAGACTATTTAGCGCATGCCCGTTTACAGAGTATAATTCCTAGTCCCTCTCAGAGATTACTCAGCCCTATACAGAATGGAAATGATCATTGTGGTAATTGTGCACAGTGTAATAATGCGTTTAAAACATCCTTTTTGTCACCCGAGAACCAGAAATACCGAATTAACTCTGCTATTACTTGTGGTTCTACACATGTTGTTTATTTGATTCGTTGTCCTCGCAGTCTCTGTCGGCAAAACAAAGTGAACATAAGAGTTCTATCAGAAGAAAAGTCTTAATTACTCTGTTGCGGCCCATTTTCTGTCTTTGTATCACGATGTCTCCTCCTTGTGCTTTTGTGGTACAGAAAAAGGGAATGTGCCACCAAGAGGATAGAATATAGAAATAATTTTACAGAGACGCGAGTTATTTTGGATTGTTGCCCTTCAGACTTTATCACCATGAATGATGAAGCACTGTTTAATGTGATGTCATAGAGTTATGAGGGGTGTTTTTTGTTTTTCTATTTTATGTGTTTATGGTATATGTATTTTTTTCTATGTGATGAGGTAGGTTTCATGATGTATTACGTCACTGATTCTGTGTTTGTTCGCATATGCCTGATGAAGGTCATGGGGCCGAAATGTTGTGAGTGAATAAAGTTATATTTTGAAACATTTGCATGTGCGGATAAGTGTGCGGGATTTATTATTTTTTTGTCCATGAAGAACCTTTAGAATTAATTGAATCTTTCCATTGCACAAAAGATTTTTCATAGTGGAAAAGGGTTTGTAGTACATCATTAAAATGCTCTTCACACTAACAAAAAAACGGATTCTTTTAGAAACTAATCACTTAAAGATTCTGAGAGGAACCAAAAATAGTTCTGGCATGGCATCACTGTGGAAACCCCTTTATTTATAAGAAGTGTTATGAAATAAAGCAATAAGCCCCGTGAAGCCGTGGTTTACAGTGAATTTATTACAGCTAAGGGGCGTTGTTAGGCACGATGTGAAGCGGAGTTAGCTGTTATAAATTCACTGTAAACCACGGCTTCACGGGGCTTATTGCTTTGCCGAGCAACACACAAACGTAAACAAAGGTGTATGTTACTTTGTAGTGTAATTTACAACAGCTTCGAACGCGGCTCAGCCAATCAGAATCAAGCACCGGAACTATCCGCTTTATAAAATCCTTTTCTCTATTAATCCTGTGCACTGATTAATCAATCAATCACAGTAACTTCAGGATCTTTGTGCTTGGATGACTGAGTTATCTGGATGCAACTGTCCACGATTTTACATGTTTTATGATTCTTTTAATTTTTGGGCAAACATGACCTGTACACGTTCTTATGTGAGATTCATTAGTTATTCTGTGAGGTCGAGAGCGGTACCTTATCATAGGGCAGCATTCCCCTCAGCGGGAAGCGCAGAGTGGTCGGGTCCAGTTTCCACGAGTTACAAATGGCCCCAGAATTATTAACCACTGGCAGAAGATTGCAGCGCCCTGAAACATATTCAAACATGTGACACACTGCCGCAGGGGCTCATGGGATCCTTATTCCACCGCACTGTGAGACGAGGATGTGTGGATGCGTCTTACCGCAGATGGAGTTAATGCGGGCGGTCGGTCTGAAACTATCAACGAAGTCAGATATCAGGCTGCCCAACAACTGAAAAGCAGCACACACTTTGGTTTCATTTCGTGAAGACTCACTGATAACAAATCATCACCTGCATTACAACAATCAGCCTTCGTCAGGAGTCTGTAGGAGTGAGTTACCCAGTGTGAGAGCATGCCCTCCGGATACAGCTTCCTGATCTCAGTCACAGCGAAGTACGCCGGCAGCAGACAAGCGTTGCGGTCCAGTATGTACTCCACCACCTTCACACAGCAAAGTTAATCACACTCGGGAAACACCAGAAGAACCGTCATCTGTCTGAGGACTCGAACATACTTCTCGTGCTGCGAGCAGCTGCTGAACCACAGCCGAGCTCATGAAGTTCGGGACGGTCTGAATCTTGTCCATCACAGCCTTCAGCAGATCCCTCACGCCCTGACAATCACATATAGTCAGATGTAGAGAATAAAGAGACACTCCCACGCTTTATTGATGGTCGGGGGACTTTTGGAGCTGGTTCACACACTTTTGCTCTTGATTATGCAAGGGCTAATTAATATAAAGCACCAAATCAGAGTAAAAAATAGCTACTACCACTAGAAAACACATGGCTTGAGTGGAACTGGAGCACAGTCTGATCTTCAATAATGTGAGTGATTCGACTCAAACAACACATCAGATTACTAAAGAAAACAACTCCCATAAGTGACATTTCTTCTACTTTCACCTTAGACGCAGTTTCATGAAGCGATGAATGACTCTTTCTGCGAGTCACACTTTTACTATGTTCATTTATTTTGAGGTTTAAACGTTACCTGTGCAAAAAAAAAACAAATTCTAAAAAAAAAAGAGATAAAACCTGCAACTAACTGGAAATGATAGAGCTATAATAAAAACTGTTCAGGTCAACTGCTAACAGGTCAGCTATATGACCGAAATCTCATCTCTCTCTCTGCATTAATTAAAGGTGCCATAGAATACATTGATACAATATTTTAAATTGTTCTCTGATATCTGCATAGATGGTATGTGGCTTAGTTAAGTTTTACATGTCCATTTACAACCCTAGGATTTGTCCCTAGAATGAAATGGTCTGTTATTACCTTATTTGGAAGGCTCATGAATAATAATGTTGAGCTCTGCTCTGATTGGCTGTTTCACAGTGCGGCTCAATGTTGAGCTCTGCTCTGATTGGCTGTTTCACACTGCGACTCATTTCAGTAGCTCACACAGCAGGAAGGAAACACAGGGAAGATATATATTTCGGGCATCGGGGAGCCGCTATTAATATATGCGAATGCACGATCGCTTTTTACTTTCACTTTGGAGATTTGCGATCGCACGTGCTCTGTGTAAACTACAGCGGCAGTACTTAACACAGATTTTACAAGATCAGATGCTTGTCAGAGGTGCTCAGGATCTGTAAATCATTCACCATCGTCCTCAGTCATCTCTCCTTACTCTGTTTATGTGGTAAGTGAAATCTTATGTACTGTAATGTAACAGGCTACCGCTAGCAAGCACCTAACATGTCCCTTTAGCGGCTTGCGTTATTTTATTATAACGCACGTTATTTGTTTTCCGTGCCTTTCATAACATTTATTTCCATGATCTGCCATTTTTGCTATAATCCTCGCTTGTTTCTTCACATTACCTGCAGAACTTCTGATGATTCGGCTGTGCAGGTTCGGCTGGCGGCTGGCATAGAACATGGGCGGGTTTATGCAAATGTTGGGGGCGTAACTATTAGTGATCCCGACTGTAACGTCACAGTCGGTGTTATGTTCTGATTCGCCTGTTTTTCAGTGGTCTTTTGCATGCACGAGATTTACATAAGAAGGAGGAAACAATGATGTTTGAGGCTCACGGTATTACATTTCCATGCACAGATCTGTTATTATTCAACTATGCCAAGGTAAATACAGTTTTACATTTTGTGGCACCTTTAATACCTTCAACTTTCAGCTATTATAAATATATCCAGCTCTACTACACTCACATAAACATGACATACTGTATATAGCAAATCTCAACTATTTATTGTTTATACTGTTGCAAAATGTTAACTATATTATCACTCAGCTCTAAATGTGGCATGAAGGTGTTTTAAACATTAACGCTATGTATTTCTGTAAAGCTGCTTTGAAACAATGTGTATTGTGAAAAGCATCACACAAAATAAAATTGACTCAAATGTCAATCTATGAATTCATAAGCACACTTTTGCTGGGAAAAATGATGGCATGTGATTGTGATGTGATGGTTTTCAGCAGATTCGAACTCATGCGTTGTTTGTTTTTCACCTTGTAGTCGACTCCTCCGATGATTTTGCGGATGAGTTTGAAGGTCAAAGCCCAGAGCTGAGTCCTCTCCCACTCCAGACTGTCAGAGCTCATCAGAGCCTGACACACCATTCTGCAAAAACACCGTTACACAGCGCACTTCAGTCAGAGACATGAACACCCTGAGCATTAAACACAGCCCGGTTATACTCGGGTCAAGTGTGACTTCAGGTTTGGGCTGAGTTCTGGTTTCTGTAAAAAATAAAGTGCTACTAACACATACTTTGTGTTAACTATTAATAACTCACGTAATACACGCACACACACAGCTTGTCGTCCATGCATCGAAGTGTACTAGAGTTTGGCAGCACCGCTCATTTATGTCCCGGGTCGGACTCCAGCGTGACGGTGTGTTTACCTGGGAGGCAGCAGGCTGGTCTCCACCGCCATGGCCAGACAGTCATAGAGGAAGGAGATGCGTTTGGGGCTGTGCTGACTATGAATGAAGCGGACGATCCACTGCACGCACTGATCATGTGACTCCTGCAGTGACAACACACACAGACACATACGCTGCATTCAAAGCACATCTGTTCTAAATGCCCACCAAAATATGACTTTTTAGGAAGAAATCAGACAATTTTGTATATGGGAGAGTGGGTAGCTAAAAACTGATATTATAATTCAGGGTCTATCCACAGAAATACGTGACAGATGAAGATGAGCTGACCTGAGGAAGAGTGCTCCAGTACTGCCTGAACGCTCCTAAACAGCTCACCAGTTTGGTCCTCTCATCCTCCGGACTGTCCATAAACATGCTGCAGAACACACACACACACACACACACATATGAGACACACACGCACACATAACACACACACACACACACACATAACACACACACACACACACACATAACACACACACACACACACACATAACACACACACACACACACACATAACACACACACACACACACACATAACACACACACACACACACACATAACACACACACACACACACACATAACACACACACACACACACACATAACACACACACACACACACACATAACACACACACACACACACACATAACACACACACACACACACACATAACACACACACACACACACACATAACACACACACACACACACACATAACACACACACAACACACGCATGTATGCACACACACACACACACACACATAACACACACAACACACGCATGTATGCACACACACACACACACACAACGTATAACACACACTCACGTATGCACACACACACACACACACACATAACACACACAACACACGCACTCAATGACCCTCTTCATCTGTTTCCGGGTCAACAATCATATTGAGCAGGGGCCTGACAGGCACATTAAAAAGTCTTTTAAAAACTCGCACTGACGAGGGAGAGAGAGCCCGTCCATTAGTCCGCAAGTAACGGTAAGACTTTCAGCTCCACGCGTGAACCGCTTCAATGGCGGTCGCTGAAAATGAGTGTGTTTACAGAACGCTGTTGTCACTGCTGCAAACTCCCATATATATAATTATTAAAAAAATATAATTTCCCTGCAGCCAGTGGGCCCCCTTTCCAGTGTAGGCCCCTGGGCTCCAGCCCCTTGAAGCCCGTGCATTAATGCGCCCTGGTAATTACAGCAAATGGTAGAATAAAGATAAGTCCTATATTTATCAGATAATCTGAATATGTTTTACATAACAAGCGCTAAAACATCTCATAAGGAAAGCATTCTTAGTAGTAGCCTAATACATTAGCAGACAATAGCAGCATTAATGTTTAAAATCTTTTCTATATACAGCTTTCGACGACACACTACTGTCAGGCCGATTATGAATGTCTTTTGAGCTCAGTCAGTGTTTCAGTCGGTGTTCAAACTCGTTTGGTGTGCGGTGTCTAAAGAATTTAAGACCAGCTGTTGCCAGTCGTCCTCACAAAGATTAGCCCCTGGGCTCCAGCCCCTTGAAGCCCGTGCATTAATGCGCCCTGGTAATTACAGCAAATGGTAGAATAAAGATAAGTCCTATATTTATCAGATAATCTGAATATGTTTTACATAACAAGCGCTAAAACATCTCATAAGGAAAGCATTCTTAGTAGTAGCCTAATACATTAGCAGACAATAGCAGCATTAATGTTTAAAATCTTTTCTATATACAGCTTTCGACGACACACTACTGTCAGGCCGATTATGAATGTCTTTTGAGCTCAGTCAGTGTTTCAGTCGGTGTTCAAACTCGTTTGGTGTGCGGTGTCTAAAGAATTTAAGACCAGCTGTTGCCAGTCGTCCTCACAAAGATTAGCCTTTTTTTTAATTATTATTATTATTATTATTTTAAAATATACATATCATTTTTGTGACTGACGCCGGCGATTAACTGCACTTTCCTAATTTGTAGGCCTGTTAATTTAAATCACGAAATAAAAAATAAAAATAAAATCACAAACATGACATTTCTGAATAATAAAATAATAGTATACACTTTAGTTATATCTAATTTAACTAAATTAGATATAACTAACCCCCCCCGATCCGACCGTTAGTTAGCTCAGGCCCGCCCAAAAACACACTTCTGGCTAACGTCACGCCACTGATATTGAGTCTATTATTTACTCACCCAGTAAACGCCTCTTCAATCACCTCAGTTTTCTGACGTAAACAAACAAACATTTGAAAGTGTAAAGGTTTATGCTGTGATATATTCGCTTAACGAAAGGGAACGTTTTGCTCATGCTGTATACGAAACATTATATTTGTTTTAATGAACGAAACGGTCACCCACCACTACATCCTCAAAGATACTCTGCAGCTGACTTTCCATCGGGACCGCCATGATGAGAGCAGCTGGTCTTCACAAACTCACATGTGTGTTTAACACTGAACTAACGCTGTCCTGACGCCCTCACGAACACAACACCACACCACACAGAGCCACTGCAGGCAGACCGGAAGCGCGTGCGCCGCTCAAAACATTCCGGCGGGAACAGCGATGGATGGTTCCGATGTCTGCTGCGTTTCCGAGATTGAACAAAATAGAGCAAACAAATCGAAAAATCAATAAACAGCCTCCTTTATAAACTCCTAATAAGTCATTCGTGTTAGAAAAAGTATGACACTCCTTGTATTATTGTCTCTGTACAGATTTATTCGTTAACACTTTATTTTACTTTCTGTTTCATTTATCTATTTGCTTCTTGCATGCTGCCTGGTCTCTAATAAAGTATTGCCTCCCTGTATGTCTGTAGTTGCAAGTTGTAAGACTTATTTGTTCTATTTAAAATACATAAATAAATGACATAAATACAAGTATTCAAATTGTGTTAATTTATCCAAAAGTAACATCACAAATACAATACTACAAATATTCTCTAATAATTAAGACATTAAATTAATTGTAGCAGCATGGAGGAGGCTAAATCCTATAAGCAACTATTTTCATGAAATAAATATTTCACATTTATGTATTTAATATTTCTGTAATTACTCAATTCGGATGGGCAAATTTAGTTATTTAGCAGTTTAATGGTCAATTAAACAATGTTTAATCAAATAGTTTAACACTTTGAGCACAGCTAGCTTATGCTGATGGCATTCCTTCCCTACTTTGCAGTTAAAGCTGCAGTCCGTAACTTTTGGCCCTCTAGCGGTTAATAAACAGAACTGCATGCGTCTTGCGGAAGAACATTGTAGCCGGAGCTACTTCTCTGTGTTTATGTCTATGGCGAATCACGCAGGTACTGGACTACTCCGCAGCGGTACCTACCCGAGCCAGTCTAAAATAGTCCGAATATAAACATTTATTATAGGTGTACCGTAGTGATTCTGGATAAGCCAAAAACACGGTTCGGAAAATGGACTCATGGTGTACTCGCTTATTATATACATTTAGTTAATTTTGAACACAAAAAAGTTACGGACTGCAGCTTTAAGAATACAGTGCGCTCAGGAGAGCTGCACACACACACACAGCCGCTAGATGGCGCCTCTAAAATCAAGCAATGCTGTCGGCATTAATCCGCATGTAATAGCCTAATAACAGTCATTATGAACGCAGCATTTGCAGTTCTAGTACATTTAAGTAGACACTTTATTCCAGCGTTACTTATAAACAAGTAAAACATTTGTACTGTTTTAAGCCATTAAATCTTGGTCTTAAAAATAATGCAATTTTGCTAATGTTTAATGTTGCTTTAAAGGGATAGTTCACCCAAAAATGAAAATGTGATGTTTATCTGCTTACCCCCAGGGCAGCCAAGATGTAGGTGACTTTGTTTCTTCAGTAGAACACAAATGATGATTTTTAACTTTAACCGTTGCAGTCTATCAGTCGTATAATGCATGGCAATGGTAACAAAATCTATGAGAGTAAAAAAAACATGCACAGACAAATCCAAATTAAACCCGGCGGCTCGTGACACAAACCGATCGTTTCGTGTCTTAGGACATCAGTGTGTCGTCACGAGCCGCAGGGTTTCATTTGGATTTGTCTGTGCATGTTTTTTTTTACTCTCATAGATTTTGTTACCATTGCCATGCATTATACGACTGATAGACTGCAACGGTTCAAGTTAAAAATCATCATTTGTGTTCTACTGAAGAAACAAAGTCACCTACATCTTGGATGCCCTGGGGGTAAGCAGATAAACATCACATTTTCATTTTTGGGTGAACTATCCCTTTAACAGATACACACACGAGCTAAATTTCCAAAATATTAAAATTTTACTGCGTTTTGTAACTTATACTGTCATCCCAGTTGCAGTTTTCCACTTAAATGAAAATAATTGTTACTAAAAATGACACTACATGTTCTGTACTTTCCTGTACATACTTTTTTCACTGATAGTTTTTTGTAACTGTCTTTAATATAAAACAATATTATAACTGTATAGCAAAATAAATAGATTAAGTGGTGTCTTTTTATTTTTCTTTATAATTCGTCATAGGCTATTATGTTACAGGTTACAATATTTCTGTTCATCTGAATATGCAGCTTATTACCAGCGCTCTTTTACATTTCACCTTACCTGCTTGTCCATTTTATAAGACTACATTAACATATGTAGGCCTAATAATTTATACTACACACAAATTTAGTCATTGTAATTATTCACAAAATATAAAAAGCAAACACAAACATTTTTACAACTTTTCACAATGTTGTACTTTGGTTGCAATTAAGTAATGTTGTAGTACAATGTTTTAAAATAAATAAATAATAATAATAAAATGTAACCAAATTAAAATGTTTTAGAAACGTTGTGAAAATACCAACCTGGTATGTTTTAAGTAGTCAAAAAAAAAAAAAAATTATATCATGCAAACATCATGTTTGTCTACAACGAAAACAAAACTAGACCAAACTGCAATTGTTATTTTATAATAATTATATTGCAATCTACTGTTTGCACTAAAACTAAAGATTATATATTATATATTTATATTTTTTTATTATAATTTAATAAGTTTTAAATTGATTTGAGAAGCTGTTGGCGATTTTTCAGCGCTTTAATTGCAGGCTACATTGTTATGCCAGTAGGTGGCAGCAAGGGACTGTCTTATTGAGTTAGTTAGTTAACCATTCATTCAATGCTGATTCATTCTATTGTAGTGCTGAGTTCTGTGACCCACCAAATTATGTGATCCGAGGAATGAGGTTAGGGGTAGGATTAGGTTTGGGTTTAGTAGTAGGTCGAAGTAGCTCAATACAGATTTGATGGGTCACAGAATTTGGCACAACACTGGAAAAATACAAGGTTGTACTTGTAAACAAGAATGTTTTCTGAACTTTGAACAAAACTGACAAACAACACTGCGCTGGGGTAATGGTTCATTACATAGAGATCAATGCAGTGACTAGCACTGACGCCTGTCATGTGAAATCTCCTTAACCATTGAAAGAATACTATGACAAAGATATCACCTTATGGATATACAGCAAATGTGGAGGGAATTATGCTTCACACTGGTGCATCTATATATACAGTATATGTATTATAACAAATACAGCATTATGGTCAGTTCACACTGTTACAAAAACTATTTAAAAAAAACATGCTTATTTTGTTTGTTTGGTCAGTGTGTTCACCCCGTTGGAGTATGGCCGTGTGAATTGGCTTTTAGGTGCTTTGGAAGAAAACCTCAGTAAAAATAAATTTTTTAATGTTTAATTGATATTAATGTTAATTTCTTAAATACATTTCTGTGTTTTTCTTAAACATTCCCTATTCTTGAAGTGTTCAAGTGTTCATGTCGCTGAGTAATATCTGCATGCACCTAAGTCTGAAGAGAACACATAATATGGTAGTAGACAGCAATCCATATGAGAGAGACGTCTGGTGTGGAGGCTGGATCTGGAACTGACTTCTGTCCAGGTTGTCACAACATCTCTTGATTATCTTCACGAACTGCCCTGAAATACAATTCTAACATTAACAATGATTGTTAAAAATATAGCTTGAGGCTCTTACATTCACAATGCTCATTTTGGCCTCGGTGGTGAAGTGTGCAGAAAATTCCGCAGGACTTAGATTTGGTCTTTGGTGAACAGCTTTCAAGAGTGCAAATGAGATTTTAAGTTTTAAGCACCTTTCAGGCTCGCGTGAGGTTTCCAGCAACAAAGTCTACTTGAACAAACACTTCACTACATTGAAAGTTTAGAAGAAAAAAAATGTTTTTCACATAATATAAAAATATTAAATATATATATTAAATAAAATATTTATATATACTGTATATATATATACACATACGTATAATTTTACCTCAGACTGTAACCCAGACCGCCTCGCGTGTTATTCAACAGGAAATTATAAAATTAAAAATTGGGAACTTACAAAATACTATGGAAGTCAATGGCAACCACCAACTGTTTGATTACCAGCAATCTTCAAAATATCTTCTTTTGTGTTCAACATAAGAAAGCAACTCATACAGGTTTGGAACGACATGAGGGTGAGTAAATGATGACAGAATTTTCATTTTTGGGTGAACTATCCCTTTAACGTTAGATTGGCAAATCGGCAAATAAAAAAATTATTTATAATTCCCACCTTCACCATCCATCCGGCATGGCAGATGATGACCATTACATTTGAAGTGAGACACATTCACAGTACTCCGGTTCTGTCTTACTGTTATTCATTTTAATTTTAAAGTACTTTTTTATCATCTGTGTCTCATTTCAAATTATGTTGGACCTCTCTGTAGGTTGCTGTATATCAAGTGTCCTCATAATGCAGAGTTAAATGACATACAGGACTCCAAAAAATTGATATCTATTTGATATATTTTTTGAATATTTGATACACTTTTGAACGGTAATGTATGTTTGAGGTTTACTTACTAGTTAGATGGTTCATAGCGCCTTGGAAATGTTCTTCGACAGGAGGTTCGCTCCAACTCTGCTGCACGGCCATCAGCATGGAAGAATATAGGAATATAAACAACTTGTCGCAGAGCCAACAATATGTAGTATACAATGTCAGGTTTATTAGAAATAAGCAAACTAGAGCAGAGGTGAAATGCAGAAAACAGAAAAGAATAATATGTTACAGAATACACAAAAAGAAAAAAAAAGCTACCAGAATTTACGTTTTCAGGTTTTACAGATGCATGGTAATATAGGCGAAATATATTGTGAAAAATGCATAAAAAGTTATTTAATATGATTTCTCAGATCACCTGTGTTTCCTATATGTCTGTCAGCATATTTTTCTTGGAACTTCCTGTTTTAGAGGGTTTTTTTCTGACACTCCTGAAATCACAGTACAGTTTCATCAATATTTGTTTACAATGAAAGATCAAAACGTGTTTGAAAGAGTTTCAGCCCATGTAAGTGACGTCACCGATTAACCGTACAGTGCACACTTCTAGGTTAAATTAATTAGCTTACTTCCATTTATTCATTGACAAATTGCCAGCAAAACATTTACAAAACTATCAAAAATAATATGTGATTAAAAGCCAAAAAATAAATAAGAGCTCAA